ACCCAACACCAAAAAAAAAAAAAAAAAAAAAAAAAAAAATATAGATGACAACTAAAAGCTTAACATTAACATGCTACACATTGACAAGAATAATAATCTAACATGAATAACTTCTTCTGGCCAAAAAGCCGTTCAGTTGACATATAATACAAACACGAATTGCTCAGATAGAAATAATCAAAAATAGTATGAGAAAAGATGAAAAGTGGGTTAATTTGAGGAAACCTAGACCTCCAGATAATGATACTCCAGGAACCAATAGGCCTCCCAATTACAAACAATAGGTTTGCAGAAATAATTCATCCATATATTATTATTACCCGCTTGGAATTTAAATACAAGATAAATCATTTGTGTTCACCTAAAAATAAGGAACACTAACGGTTCCAACAAAATACACTTACCCTTAACTTCTTAGAGCATCTCCAAGATACTCTCTAAATACATTATGCTCTCTAGAGTTAGTGCTTAAATAGCTCCAACAGCCTCTATGTTAACTTTTTAAAGTGGAGAGTGTGTTTGGCTTTATAAATACTCACTATTCTTACTTTATTTTGATTGGATTTAATGAGTTATAAATTTCAATACTCCACTCCTCAAATTGCTCAAATCACATTTGCATTGGACATATAACAGTATATGTTTAATAAGATATGAGAGAAGAAATCAATAAATGTTTCTTGGAAAAAAACTAAGAGCCAAAATAGAGACCATTGTTGAAGTGTATAAAAGGTTTTAACTTATAGACGCTCTCTATTATACATTAGATGTTTTTCTAAAAATATAAAGTCTTTTGGAGGTGCTCTTTGTCTAAATCAAAAAATAAATAAAACATAAAATAGAATAGAATACAAAATAAAAAATTGGACTTGTAACATTGTAAAAACCATAAATCGCGTTTCAAGCTTACAAAATGGTTGTGTTTGCTCTATCCATTGTATGCCCATTCATGAATGTGTGTTTGCATCCAACGTGTAAAAATAAGATTGATACCCAACTAAGCCTTCATTTGTCAAATTTATAAATCAAATTTTGTAAAAATGAATAGTAATGTATCTCACAAAATGTATGGATAATAAATGAGTAAGTAGTTATGAATGTGTTATTAAAATTAATGTTTGACTTTGATTGAATTTATAAATCAATTTATAAAATTATGCCCAGACGGGGCTATAAATATAACATATACTGAAATCAGAAGTAGAGCCAAGAAATGAATTAAGCAGGAGCGGAGTCAACTAATAGAGATTTGCCCATTCTAGTAGGGTGGAGATGAGGAGTTTAAAGAAATTTTCTCATATTTGAATCAACAATATAAGGGCATATATTGAGAGAGAAAATCAGATTAAAAAAAACATTGGTGTGATTATGTGGATTGAGGAGGCAAACAAAAGAGAAAATGTTAACAAATTTCAAAAGGAAAAAAAAGTATCTCCAAAATTCAGCTGATTGATTTTCTTTCTTTTATTTTTTTTCAAATACCAACTTTTATTTGTTAATCTGATAACTCTATAGATAGTTATTGTTTAAGAATTAACACAAGCAGCACCAAAAGCAAAAAGAAACAATTTTTTTTTAAAATCAATTTAGGCATTGACTCAAAAGAGATAAAGGATAAGAATCAAAAACTGAACCGAAATCAAACTACATGACAAAAACAACTAATTAAAAAAATAATTTGCTAAGTTCAATTTGATAACTAGTTTAAATTTTATAGAAATTGAGACTTTGCCTAACTCGTAAGAAATAAAATAATATTTAATTACGTTGGTAAAATTTTAAGATATTTTGTAATGAAATATCAGTTATGTAAAATCTACTACTCCATGTTAAACCCTCCAGTGCCAAAACGATCAACAGCATGTAATCCCTGTTGAATTTAATCCAAAAATTCTGTCTATTACAAGAAAATTGGACACATATACCTGTGATGCTCTTGGCTCGGGTATGAGCACGTATTTAAGTGTTGGATCTTTTATTTTCTAAAATATAGGATACGGGGATATGGCTAAAAAGAATTCAAATTTCGGATACGGGTACGTCGGTAGGTCTTTCACACTTCAATTTTGAATGTCCCAGGTAATTCACGTGTAAAAAATTAAATAATAATTAAGTGGCGAATTGTTAAAAGATAAAAACATGTTAATTAAAATCAACTAGAAATTTATACTGAAAGTCTAAAACACCAAAAACAGCATAAATCTACAAAACGAGCACAAAATTAAAATAAAAATTAGAAATTACATAATTACAATTGCCATACCCGCTTGAAAATTGAAAAATCCACCCATATTTCATACCCATACCCATGTCGTGTCAACAAATGTATGCCGACCAAAATGCAAAGTCCCAGCATCATAGACTTATACAACTTTATTGAGTGTTATATATACACAACTATACCTCACTTGAATTTTGATCAAAGCACAACTAATGCACTCAGCCCTTTCATCTCTCTCTTACTTCACTCATTCACCATGACTACATGCACTCTCTCGTATATATAGGGTGCAATGTCGGTGGTTGCACCTTCTACACATTTCCCATATGGCGACGGAAATAAATTACCCGGCGACCATTCTAAAACCTTCTTCTTTTGGCACCAATTGTGGATAATCAGATGAAGCACCAAAAAAATATGGAAATTTCCTTGCAAAGTTGGGATGCTCTTACAATCCCATCCGAAATCCATAATTATCAATTTTAGTTCATTCTCTCTCTCTCTCTCTCTCTCTCTCTCTCTCTCACACACACACACACTCTCTCACAGTGTGTGTACGCTTATACATATACATAAGCCGAATCATAATCTACAGAACGGACAGGGACATTTATGTGCTAGCCCTGGTAGGATACAATATAGAACTCAAATATACCAAAAAGATAAGAAAAAATAAGATTTCCTCGTCATTTATCCAATGTCAGTCTTTGTTCAATTTTATGTCATTTTTTTGTCACAACGAGCAGCTAAGCCGATTAATCAGTTTAACACCGTCAAAATCTAAATCCATTCAAAGTATTGCATTCTCGGCAGCAACAAATGAATGTGGTATTAAGTCTATATAAATAAATATATAAATAAATAAATAAATTACCTGTGAAACTCAATGTAGCGTGTGAAACAGTGTCGAGTTTGGTTGGTTGTTGGGAATCGAAAATCTGCTGGCGCAGTTTTAAGTTCGAACTGGTAATGAAGTTGAAACGGGGAAAAAAATCCTTAATGAGATGGAGCCCAAACAATTCCAAAATTAATGTTCTATGATTTAACATCTAATACCACTCAATCCTAAATCACAATTGAACAAGAGCGAGATGAAAAAGAAGGGTATGAATTCTTGAAACAAACCAGTGACCAGTGAAGTTTGAGGCAAAAATATGTGAAACTAAACAAATGTATGTCCAACATCCAGCAATAAATAAAACATTAAAGGATCAGTAGAAATTTAGCCATCTAAAAAAAAAAAAAATCATTAATCCACTAAAAGGAGAGAAATAATGATACAGAACAGTATGCTTTGAAATATTTACAGATCATGTCACACAGTGTACCCAGAGATTTGAAATGAAAAGCCTATACGCAGCGGACAATGAAAAATAACAATGGACATTAATGAAAATATAAAAAATTTTGTAGGGATTTTTACCTCGGCCATTGAAGATGTAAATCGATAAGAGAGGACCCTTCGAATCACGAAAAGTTCGATTCTTTTAGGGGGTAACTTTTGGGAATTTAACCAGAAAAGTAAGAAGTGTCAATTGATGGTAATTACTGCCCGGTTCGTGCGGTGACCAATGAGGAAGCCCATTGTATTTTGATAAACTTTCATCCCCGAGCTTTACAAGCTGTTGCTAATCTACCATCAACCATTTTTTAGAATTAGACATTCCGAACCTTTTACTTAGGGCTTGTTCCGTAGTGATTTTGATAATTGATTTTTTTATCGTTAGGAAGAAAAAAAGGGTCCCACTTGTACTAAAGAAGTTAAAAATGACGTCTGAAATAGAGAAATAACGGTCAAAATTGATTTTTTTTGGGTGAAAAATTGTTACCAAACGAATGCTTAATTGCAAATAACATCCATGTTGACAAATCCTGTCCAATTTGACTGATAAGGTTAGGTAAAAGGCAACTTCACCCTTAACTTTTAGATAAACCAAAAAGAAAAAATCACATATAACTTCACGAATACGATAATAACGAGTGAATTGTCCAAATTGTCACTGAACTTTGTAAAAATTTTTCAAGGAGTCATTGAACTTTAAAAATCACTTAAATAGTCATTGAATTTTGCAAAAGGTTTCTACGTGACTTAAATAGTCATTGAACTTTGTAAAAGGTTTCTCAGGAGTCACTGAATTCAGTGATTTCGTGGAAATATTTTACAAAGTTCAATGACCTCGTCGAAATATTTTGTAAGATTCAGTGACCATTTAAGTTATTTTTAAAATTCAGTGACCCCGTAGAAACCTTTTGCAAAGTTTAGTAACCATTTAAGTAATTTTTAAAGTTCGGTGACCCACTGAAAATATTTTACAAAATTCAGTGACCATTTGAGCAATTCACTTGATAATAACATATTCTTCTCTCCACTATGAATAGCTAGTAAGGAGATATAATGAGGGACAATCTGAAAGAAAATTATTAAATAAAAAGAGAATAAATTAGGAGGATGTACGAAAACAAGCATAATTTTCAGCTTTGATATCGAATTTTTCGTCTAGAGTTCAATCCGAAAGCATTTTTCAATTCTACATAATTTTTGCAGTTGACATTCTCAGACTTTCATGGTCAAATGTCATCATTTAGGGGCAGGCTCATTTGAACATTTTTACTTTTTTTAGACAGCTTAAGGATATTTTCATCTTTACAGTTTTTTAGTTTTAATTGGATCTTTTTTAGTTTCCTAGTTTAATTAAATTTATTTGTACAATTAGAATCTCATTTGAATTAGAATTTGTTTTGAGTCCTTAAATATTTGTTTAAGAGTTTGTAAATTATATATTCGATTCTTGATTGATAAAATATTTTATTTTTTTAATTAATTGGTGGATTCCAAATAATTATTACGTCCGTTCGAACGAAATTCAAACAATCACCCGATCGTGTATTACGAACAAGACCCTTTTATTATTACTAGTAAGACGCACGTGAAATGCTATAATAGAGTATATAAGAGCGTAGAAAATATATAATGATAATTAGTCGAGCTTTGTCTTTTTTGTTACTTGATGGGTTTTAGAGTTAGGGATATCAATACTTTTTATCGGTAAATGTAAAATTTTATAAATAAAAACTTCAGTAGAAGTATACTAGACAAGGTAAATAGAGGTTTATATAGACATTAATAAAGTTTGAACTAAAAAAGAATTATTTATATCATAAAACAAAAAGAATTAAAAAAATTTAAATCGAACAAAAAATTATTTATAATATGAAGAAAAAAGAAATTTTAAAATAATTTTCAAAAAAAAAAATAAATTAAACAAAAGAAAGTTATGAAAATTAAATAAAGAATATATAAATAATATTTAATTGAAATTGAAAAAAATAAGTTTTATTATAAATAGAAAAGAATTAAAAAAATTATTTATAATATGAACAAAACAAATAAAAAATAACGTGAGGAGGGAAACCTCTCCAAGAAATCTCTCCATGCTATGGACATCAAGAGAATTTCTCCATAACACTAAGAGATTCTCTCCATGTTTCTGGAGAGAAACTCTCCATTTTTTTTTTTTGTAATTTGTTTTGTTCATCATATAAATATTTTTTTATTTAAATTTTTTTAATTATTTTTTCTTTATGATAAAATTTAATTTTTTTAATTTTAATTAAATAATATTTATATATTCTTTTTTCCCTTTAATTTGTTAAATTATTTAGTTTTTTATTAGTATATTGGTGTAAAATGATAGTTGCACGTGTTATGGACGTGAAAATGCTGTAATTGAGTATATAATAGCGTAGAAAATATATGACGATAATTAGTCAAGTTTTGTCTTTGTTGTTATTTGATGAGTTTTACATTTGAAGATATCAATACTTTTTTATCGGTAAATGTAAAATTTTATAGATAAAAACTTCAGTAGAAGTACATCGGACAAGGTAAATAGAGTTTCATATAGACATTGATAAAGTTTGAACTAAAAAAGAATTATTTATATCATAAAATGAAAAGAATTAAAAAAAATTTTAAATCGAACAAAAAATTATTTATAATATGAAAGAAATTTTTATTAATTTTTTTAAAAAAATAATAATAAATTAAATAAAAGAAATTTACTAAAATTAAATAATGAATATATAAATAATATTTAATTTAAATTTAAAAAAGTAATTTTTATCATAAAGAAAAAAGAATTAAAAAGAATTTTAAATCAAAAAATAAAATTTATTCATTATATGAACAAAACTAATTAAAAAAATGGAGAGTTTCCCTCCATTACACGGAGAGAAACTCTTCGTCACACTCCATAACACGGAGTTATTCCCTGTTATTTCTCTGCATCACATTATATTATCATTTTTTTAAATTTGTTTTGTTGCTATTATAAATATTTTTTTTTCGATTTAAAACTTTTTTTTAATTCTTTTCCCTTTATGATAAAACTTACTTTTTTGAATTATAAATAATTATTATTTATTTAATTTTCGTAACTTTCTTTTGTTCAATTCATTATTATTATCAAAAAATTACTTATAATATGAAGGAAAAAGTTTTAAAATTTTTTTAAAAAAATAATAATAAATTAAACAAAACAAAGTTATGAAAATTAAATAATGAATATATAAATAATATTTAATTTAAATTTAAAAAAAAGTAATTTTTATCATAAAGAAAAAAGAATTAAAAATAATTTTAAATCAAAAAATAAAATTTATTTATTATATGAACAAAACTAATTAAAAAAATAAAAAAATGGAGAGTTTCCCTCTATTACACGGAGAGAAACTCTTCATCACACTCCATAACATGGAGTTATTCTCTGTTATTCCTCTCCATCACATTATATTCTCATTTTTTTTAATTTGTTTTGTTGCTATTATAAATAACTTTTTTTAATTCTTTTCTCTTTATGATAAAACTTACTTTTTTGAATTTTAAATAATTATTATTTATTTAATTTTCGTAACTTTCTTTTGTTTAATTTTTTATTATTATTATTATTATTATTATTATTATTATTATTTTAAATTGTTTTAAAATTTCTTTTTCTTCATAATATGAATACTTTTTTCGATTTAAAATTCTTTTTAAATCTTTTCATTTTATGATAAAACATAATTTTTTCAATTTTAATTAAATAATATTTTTTTATTTTCATTATTTCAATTTAATTAAAAAACTTTATAATAATTTTTTTTTTATTTTTTTTTATTTTTGCCTGCAGCTCTTTTATTTTTGTTCTTTAATTTGTTAGATCTTTTAGTTTTTTTTTTTTATTAGTATATTGGTGTAAAATGATAGTTACAACTCAATTCGTATAATTTTATGAGATTATACTTTATTCCAATATCTCTTGTTCAATGTTTTAACATTTGAATTTTTGGAAGATGGAATATCATCTAGATGTAGTTGAGAAGGATAATCTTTAAAATTAGGATTCTCGATTTTAGTCAATATCTTGATTTTTTCCATTTTTTGGAAAATAATTTCATCTCAAATATTGAGATAATGAGTGAATATAACATACATTGATCAAGATTTAATTATTATTAATTAAATTATTAATATTTTTTATAATTATATATAAAATATATTCAAACATTTTATCATATTTATGGAATAAAATGATGTCGTTTTGTCATTCAACGCAGGAAAGCGATATCGTTTTGTCCTGTAAATTCAATGAAAATGGACAAATAAATTTTTGATTAATAAACAGAGAAGAAAATGAGAAGTATTAGTTGTGTGGAGAAGTAGAGTAAATTGCGTGGATAGTTTTGTGAAAAAATAGAAAAGATTGAGAGATAAAAGAGAAATGAAAATGATGGTCGCGTGTGAAAGTTAATAAAGTAATATAACGTTTAAAAAAAATGAAAAAATGGCAAAGAGTAATTGGGCATAACTCCACAGAAATAGTGCCACAACAGGTGCCTCTTTTATTTTAGTTAGGATTTGCATTTCCATCCTGCGTCAAGACAACTATTCGTCTGTAAAATATCGCTATTGACAGAGTTGAAAGAAACAACATCTTTGCTGTTTGAGAAGGCATCTACACTACCAAGGACTTTACCATATCTATATTTACGTTGATCCCTCCTCCAATATCATTCATCCTGGTGGTGTATTTGAAGGCCGCTTCATTGTTGAGAAACGCATTCAATGCACCACCCTATTCTCATCTCCATCAAACGTCTCATTCTCGTCATCATCCTCTTTGATGACTCTTTAAATTCCTAATTAATTTTTGTCCCCTTCTACTCCTAATTTATGTATAATTCTTCATTGATGAAACACATCATCGAGTCCATTCGATATAACTTGTCATCATTGTCCTCAATTCCACCTTATAAGATGTAGCTTTATCCAAATATTAAATGACAATCCATATTTAAGGAAAGGTACATCTATAAAGACAAAGACCTAATGTTATTGAAGGTACATTTCGACCAGTTTTCGAGTAAAATCTTAGCTCTTCGTCTTGATCCGACAACATATATTGGCTGTAGTCAAGCATTTGAGGCTAGGTAGAAGTTTAGTATGCCATCACAATCTGAATCCTTGTTATCTGAAAAGCATTACTTCCAACCCTTTTTGTAAATGAGGCTCTACATTGGTAC